AAATATGACCAGACAATTATGAGAAGAGATCCCATTTTTAGGTTTGTATATATTGTAATATGCATACAGTGTGTTTTGTATGTGTATGTTAGTTGGATTAAAGCAATTATATTAATTATAACATTGATTGATTGATTGATTGATTGATTGCATGCCATAAAGTTGGAATCAACTCTTAGTGACCACATAGATTTTCTCCATGACAGCCTTTCCTAACCATGTCCTTTATGCTTGAGCCAATCCACTAGTTTTAGACTCTATTTCTATTTTCTTATAACAACTGTCTCTCCCAGGTCCTTGAGAAGGATTCAATAGATGAATAAAAATGCCAAATCCAAAGTAAATATATGGCTGATTGTGCAATCAATCATAACAATTTAGACCATACTTTAGGTTATGCATGGACCATCCATTGCCTCCTCCACCAAGTCATATTTGGTACGGTTGAACCCACAGTGGTTAAGCCACCACCAGCATAGCTCCTGAGGTCATTGAAGCACACAACCCCCTTAACATGGCAAAAGATGCACAGCAAAAGTACAATATTGGCTATTGTACTCAGAAGAATTAAAATAATAAGCCTTGACTAATAGTAATTAATAATTAGAAAAAATACTAATATTTTGTATATATGTTTTATGCAATTTATGTTCCCTCCTAGAAACAATCCCCAGACTTGATGACAAAATACAGCAGGATTTTGAGGGGGGGAACCTAAGTGATACCTCTCATTCATACTATGAATAAAATAATATTTTTACATATATTTTTATTAAAACTTTTAAAAAAGTTAAAAACAAATACAAAGTAATATAAAGCAAGGAAGAAAAAAAGAAAATGAAAGAAAGCAAAAAGTGCAAGAAAAAAACTTCAAAAAAGTAGAAAGGAAAGGAAAAAAGATGAAGTGGCCTCCAATATTCTTTACAGTAGTTATAAGTAGAAATTTTATTTTCTCTTTCTAAAGTTACATCATAGTCCTCTTTGTCAGAAGCTTTTTTTTTTTCATTTTTATTTAAAAAGTCCAGAAGAGGCTTCCACTCACCAATACATGAGATAATATATTTTTTTCTAATCAAAGAAGTCAATTTATCTATTTCAGTAAAGTATTATTAACTTTCCTAGTTATTCCTCCATAGTAGGTAGTGTATGTAATAATTCTGCTGTGGTCATCATATATTATAATGATCTTCCATGACTTTTTTTTTCTAACATTAATCTTTAAAATCATCTATATCAAAGTATGTATTTTGAATCTATTTTTGAAGCTTTTTTTTTACACATCCACCATGCATGATAAAATATCCATTCATGTTTTCTCACATTTCCAACACACATTTTGGCTGTCTTTATACATTCTAGATCATTTCTCTAGAACCACACACCACATGTTTATTTTATAGAAATGCTCCTTTACACAATGTAAATTTCAACCTTTTATTAAATAAAAGAGCAATAGCAATAGCACTTAGACTCATACACCACTTCACAGTGCTTTACAGCCCCCACTAAGCAGTTTACAGAGTCAGCATATTGCCTCCAACAATCTGGGTCCTCATTTTACCAATCTAGGAAGGATGGAAGATGAAGCCAACCTTGACCTGGAAAGAATCAAACTGCTGAATTGCTGGCAGTCAGTGGTCAGCAGAATTAGCCTGGAATACTGCCTTCTAACCACCGCACCACCACCATTTCAATCTGAACCATTGAAGCAAAGTAGAAAAACATTCCATCTGTTATATGTGAATGATCTGAAGCTATGTGGGAAACCAGAAAATGAAACTCAGTTTCCTTCAATTGTGAAGATATTTAGTGAGAATAACAGTGGAATTTGGATTTGATAAATGTGTCATGTGCCTCATAATGAAAAACAGTGCAAACAAAATTTACTAATAGATCCATCATGGTTGGTGGATCACCTTCTATGGCAATAAATGCCAACTTGTTGCCACTATGAAGTGGTCATTTGGATGTTGGCTGCCCATTTATGGTAGCTCAATGATTAAGAATGCAAAAAGGTCAACAAAATGTGATTCTGATTGTGGGGAGAGGTGGGTGGAAGGCCAGTTACAATCTGGAAAGAAGCAGGTGACGAAAAGCCCTCTACTTCTAGCAGACACGGACGTTCTATGCCAGAAATCACTTAATGTGTGGAATTTGGATATGATAAATGTGTCATGTGCCTCATAATGAAAAAAATGCAAACAAAATGAAGGGATACAATTTACTAATAGATCCATTGTGGCTGGTGGATCACCTTCTATGGCAATAAATCATTGGTGGTATTCAGCCGGTATGGGTGGAAGGCCAGGTACAACCTAGGAAGAAGAAGGTGACAAAAGCCCTCTACTTCTTGTAGACACAGATGTTCTGTGCCAGAAATCACTTAATGTTTCAGTTTTTTTTCCCCTTTCTAAGGTCTTCCCCATAGTCATTTTGCTGAGGGATTTTCCCAATCATTTCTTATTTAATCTCAACATGGTTCGGAAGCGCTGAACATTCTGCTACCTTACTAGCTGTGATACATTATTCATTAGTCAGTTGAGCATATGAAAGCCTTCCTAATTGAAATTACCATTTATTCTTTGATATCAAATCACTTGAGACCTGTTGTTATATCTTTGATCTCTAGGATTTCTCCACAAAGAAAAAGAACCCATCAGAATCCTGAAGAGCTCAGCCAAGCAGATGACAGAGACGTCCTAGATGAAAGGACAAGAGTTGAGAGTGCACTGGCTTCTGTCAATGAAGGAGAGGTATAGCATAACTATTGGGCTTTTCTTATTTTGAAATATATGTATAACTTATTCCAAGAATATATTTGATTTGCTTATGAAATATAGCTAAATGCACAATCCTGCATATCATCCTACCTAATACCTTTACACTGCAAATAAATATTTACCTGGACTGCCTCAAGGATAGTGAGGCACTATTGAAGTAAAAGAAAACACCAGAGTTCAAAAACACCTGGATAGTTCTGTGTATAACGTAAACAAAGTGTTAGGCGCAGACAGGATTAGACACAGAGAAGGGTATGGACATAAGCTGAATCTCCCCAAAAGAGATGCTTTGGATGATGCTTTTGACTTGTGCTGGTGTTTGATGATGAAAGATTCAAATTATTAAAATGGAGAGGTATTGGTGGAGGCCAAAAATCTTTTTACATAATTAAGGTATAGCACAATCCTCCAGGAACCCAGCATCAAGAAGCAACAAGCAGCTATTTAATGAAATCAAATGCCATAAGAGGAACAACATGCACGAAGAGCATTTGAAAGAGATTGCAAAGTAGATTGCACACCACAATGTCAAAAACCATTTAATAAAAATTAAGAAATTTATGGAAGGTTTGAAACAAGTGGGATCTAGGTATTGTCTATAAACCACCATGGCTGAGGCACAGACACAGTTATTGTTCTATTGTCCAAACCAGCTTAAGGAATATTGTTTAGATAACAGTTCACATAGATAGATAATAATATGGCAAGCAGACAATGGGAAAGATCTGTCTGAACACACTGGGAATCTGCTTCCAGAAATAAGTTGAACGACAATGGCATACTCTTGATAAGAAGTAGCCAATTTTACTTGTTTCTGTGATTCACCAAAAGAGATTAGCTCATACTTAGATCAACTAAGAGTACAAAATGGCCATGTGTATATATTGTAAGCAATATCTTCTCTCTGCTTAGAAACCAGTTCTCATTGTCCATAACTTGCGCAAGGAATACAAACATGGGAAGGCTTGCTCCTCTCCTTGTTTCAAGAAGAAGGAAGAAAAAAAAGTGGCTACCAGAAACGTCTCCTTTTGTGTTAAAAAAGGTTTGATTGGAATGAATTATATTCTTAACTCAGTCTCTATTGTAAATCTACTCTAGTCATTGATCAGCAAAAATTAAGTAAGAGCAGCATTGTGGGGTTTGAAACACTAAGGCCAAATTAGGGATAATAATGCTCAGAATATCACCAAGCAAATGATCTGTAAAGGTAGATTAAATGTGACATATTTCCCATCAAATTCTATTATTGAACCACAGAATTCAGTTGAGCTGTTCTCAGAGTAAGGTGAAACAATAAACCTTTTTCTCAGTCTCCACTTTGGAGAGATGATTGAGACCAGGGTATGTGAATAAAATACACAGCATACAGTAAGGCTGAACTTTGGTTTCCCCTTGCTTCAGTGTATGAGGATAGGTAAT